TTGCAGATATTAATCACATCTCTGCGGCTGTAAAATTATCAAAAGTGATTAGTATAATATTAAATCAACCAAATAAACCAAAAAAAAAAATAGATTTTACAGGTCAGCTGAGAAAAAAATCATTTCAATCAAAGGTCCAACCGAAAGTCCTAGCATGAAGGCTAATGTCTAAAAAATATGTGTTTAAATATATTAGAGAAGAAAAATTAGAAATAATAGTGTTATTAAGAAATTAAACATACGAATAGCAAATAGTAACGTAATGTTTTATTATAATATGTCTCGGTGGCGATAATGTGCATTAACCAGAAACTTGCTAAAGGTGGAATATAATTTCCCTAAAGTAATTAAATAATAATTTTTAAGTAATAATTTTATATCAATACAGTTTAAAAAATAACTTTAGTATAAACATACTTTAATAAGGTATAAGCCAGTATAAGCTTCAGAAGCAGCCAAAGAACAGAGGCCTCCAAAAGTTAAGTAAACCATGTTCAAATAGTGTTGAACAGGCTTGTTTGGGTCATTTACATTCATAAAGGCATCAGAATCTCAACTAGAATTTTGTAAACTCATTATTTTTTTTGAATCATTAGATAAAATAGCTTGTTTTATATTTACTCGAAATTTTTGGAGTTATTGGATAAAATAACTTACTTTATTTTTACTTTACATATAATTGTATATTGCAGATTGTACACATTTTTTCCTGTTTTAACATTAAGGTTACAATCGTACTAATATATATATGGCAGACACAGACTAAATTTTTTATCTTGTTTATATACTACGTAATTTATACTACGTAATTTATTTAATACAATAAAATATAGATTATCAAAAATATGTTATTCGTTATATTCTGTTTATTAATAACTTTGATGTAGGTTCTTTCAAAAAAATTATATCAAAAATGTATTCGTTAAAAGATTACGTGTAAACCTCTTTAAATAAAGAGCAAACCAGACTTAGAATTATACTGTTAAAAAAAATCTCAACGAGCAAATTCTCTCGAAAAGATTCATAACCTTTAATTGAACTATTTTTTGTAAAGAATGTGTTAATACTAATTAAAAATACCGTATATATATATAACATATTTAAGCCAATCGATTGTCTCATACTAAAGTTTATATATATTGTGCCTCAGACTAACAATTTCCTTAGATTACAGCTGACACACCTCAGATGTTGAATGTAGAGATGCAATCCGTAAATTACAATACAAGTTTATTTTAAAACTACAGTTTTACAATAAACTACAGTTTATTTATATTAACTAATAGTTTACGGATTACATCTCTAGTTATAATAATTAAAACAAATTATTTTTGCCTTAAATTAACAGGTTTTGCAAAAAGTATTTGAACTATATTGTTTATTACTCTTTGAAAAATTTAAGGCTGGCCTTGGTATATACTTATATTGATAATTGTACAAAAAACCATATATTATATAAAAAATTATAAAATAAGATAAATTGGAATCATTCCTTCTTGACAAGAAAGAACAATCAAAATACCCTTTACTTTTTTTAATTATAATTAAAAAAGTTGTAATTTCAATCAATTACCACTCATTACAATACAAAAATCTTTGCTTTCACACCAAGTATCTTGAGAACATGCAGTTTTCCTCAAGTTTTGTATTTCCACCTGAAGTAGTTATTCAAACCCCTGTGAATTTAAACCCAGGTAAACATCTTTTTTGGAAATCGAATGCGTTTAATACTATACTTTCAGTGTATTCATAACTGATAACAAAAAAAAGAAATTTCAAATAATGAATAAAGTGAAAGATGAATTACTCGCATACGTTTTGGTTTATATAAAATTTTTTAGAAGCCAAAAAAGCTTTAACGGTTAACAGAAAATGCTTCTTAAAATATTCGATTATACATTTTTTTAGAAATGCCTTCTTATGATAACACACACAAGCAATACAGGTTTCTCAATTATTCTCCATCGAGGATGACATTCCCGATTTGATTCAATATACCCAAGCATATGTCTTTATTAGAATTGTACACTAGTATACTGTAAATGTTAGATTTTTGATTTATAAACCCATAAAATAATAAAAGCTTTAATAGATTCATCAAATAAATCCTTGTCAGAACAAAAAATACCCGGATATTGAGTTTTTATTATGCTATAAAGACCATCTGAACTACTAAATCCTATTTATTAAAAATTAACAACACTAATAGAGTTATTGGCGTAAAAAGCAAATTTTCTTTTTTTTGTGCTCATAAAAATTTCATCAGAGAAAGATATTCTTTTTCGCTAATATTAATTTGAAATAAAATTAATCTCAAGAACCAGTGGGTCCGCAGTATTGTACTAGAAATAAATCTAATTGTTCCTTCACATGGCATGAATCTAAGAATTATAAATTCTTGAAGACAAATGAACCAATTTTACTAGCGTAAATTTATTACCTTAACAAATATCACTGATGTAAGAAAAATATAAAAACGCTAAAAGTTTTCTAAGATATTTTAACTAATAACTTTTTTCTTCATCAGTATCATCACTACCATCATTTTCACTATCGATTAATATTTTCTCTTCGTTGTTAAATATCGAACCATATGCCACACTTTCTTCTATTATTTTTCTGGCCTTGTCAAATCGATATTTAAAGTCCTCCATAATTAAAAGTATGGCAGTCTCAGATAATAGAACTATAAGAAGGTAATCAGTTGTAGTTTGTGGAGTGCATGTACTATTGTTAATTTTTCCACTAGTAATAAAGTTCTTCTAATTTATTGGAAATTATTTAGAACCCTTTAGGACTGTAATAACCAGGCTGTGAGAATTTAGAATTAGTTTTATCTTAAAATAATAAATAATAATTTTAATCGATTATAAATACATGCTATGATTTTGTCATTAATATTCATTTGTATATTAATGGAACGAAAATTATTAAAACCAAGATCATCAATTCATTTTATTGCTTCTTGATGATAATAATTTTGATTATGATTACGAGTAATATCTTCAATTTTATTATTAAGGGCTTCGATGCGATCTGGTAAATTGATAAAGTCTACTTTAGGATAAGGCAAAACTAATGCATTAAAATTATTATCGTCACCTATTTATGTGTGATAGTAATTAATATAATTAATTAAAATAAATAATAATGTAAAATTAAATCAAAAAAGAACTTACATGTCTTTCCGAATTTGAACCACTCTGTTAATGAATCAATTTTCGAAGTTCTTATAAAATTATTAATTAATTATTTCATAATGATAATTAATTATAAATCATAAAAAATTAAAATAATGAATAAGTAATATAATAGAATAAGCTCCTTTAAACCAATCGAATGGGATAGGGAAATCATTTATGTTGTCTTCAATAATTTCATGAAGCTTGTTTATTCTTTGGAAACAAGTATTGTAGTATTTTAATTTTTGATTAAAGTCTTGATAATTGATTAGATAATTAATAAAAAGACCAAATTTATATTTATTTGCTAGAGCTTCAGGTTCATTTGTCTTTCCATTATATATTTTATCAAACTTTGTTTTAATATATTCTACTTTATTTGATAAATTGTTATATTTATCTTCAAAGTCATCATATATAATATGTTTGTCATTTAGCTTGTGAATGGTGAAAAGAATCATATTTATAGAATTGATCTTTTCTCTTTTTAAGTTTTCTTTCCATAAGAAAATGTTAACTTCATTTTTCTTAACCTTCTTTCGTTTTTGATTTTTAATTTTCTTATTTTATAATCAAATAAATATTCTATAAATATTAAATAATATATTTTAAACAGTTATACAATGTGTTTACCTTTGTTCGTTTTAAGTTTGTGATTTCGGTCTGTTGTTCATTAATTTGGGTATGTTGTTGGTTAATTTGGGCTCTTAATTCTTCATTTTCCGATATTAAGTGTTCTATGTTTTTTTGTAAATCTTCTTTATCTATTTATTTCAAAAGTTATAATTTTTAATAAATAAATATAATATTAATTAATATTTATTTAAAAAATACGTAACTTGTATTCCTAAATACTTTGTAACAGTAATGAGTAGACATTTTTGTTGGTAGATTATTTTAAAAAATGTGCGCTTATTAATTTATAAATCGATTGATTTTGTTTTGAGCTATATTTGGTTATTAGGCACAGCTCTGATTTTTTTGTTTATCAATGCAAAAATAGCTTGTGAGCGTATATCATAAATACGTCATAAATATGTAGTACACAACTTACAAATATGGCCTGTTATAAATTCATATGTACAGCGCATAAATTTGAGCAGCTATACAATCGTATGTATAGCGTATAACTGTGAGTAGTTATCAAAATTGTATTTATAGTGAATAAATCTAAGCTGTTATTAATATTATGAACAGCGTATAAATGTGAGCTGTTATCAATTTATATACAGCGCATAAATGTGAGTGGTTATAAATCATATGTACAGCGCATAAATGTGAGCTGTTATCATTATTAATAATATAAATAGCATATAAATGTGAGCTGTTATTAATTTATGTACAGCACATAAATGTGAGTAGTTATTAATTATATGTATAGCATATATGCTATTCGGATAAAATAACACGTAAATGTATCAGATGAATTTATTAATAAACTTAATTACACGGGGACATAAAAGCTGGTAAGCTTAACTCAAGAGAATTTAAAAATTTCACATTTTGTATAAATACGAATGGCAGAATTAGATTTTATTATAAAAAACAATATAAATAGTAATGATATATTAGATTTAAAAGCCTTTTTAATAATATAACCTCTTCAAAAATTTAAAATTCTTGTCTTGTTTAATAATTAGTATTATCCACAGATTAAACCTATTTAATATCATTATCAGTGTTAAGATGGATCCTTATATTAAATGCCACTCATTCTCATCACAATTTTTTAGATAGTATTTTTTTAGGCATCTAAGAGCATCATTTTGATGACGCGATTTACTTTTTGAAAGATCAAAATATGCCTAATCCATATTCATAATAACGAGCCAACTCAAATTTAGTGATAGCGAATTTTGTTGATCTAATTCGCTTTTAAAAAGTTCCAAAAAGAGCTCAACTGCCTTTTTTTGATTTTAAACCACCGTATTTAGATAGAATTTTGCCAATATAAGTTTTACAGAATTTTGTTGGTCTGAATCACTTTTTGAAAGTTTCAAAGGCTTTTTTAGAGTCTTGGTTCACAACACCCTTCTTCCCAGAAAAATAAAACTATGCCAAGCATTCTTTAGCTTTAGTAAAATGAGTCTTAGTTTTTGAAAGTTCTAAATAGATATTAAAGACCTTTTTATAATCCTTTTTGACACCCCTTTCAAATTTATAACAATGAGCTAGCTATATTTTGCTTAATTTTTGTATTCTAATTTTGCTTCATGTTGTTGTGTAATCTTATTCAATATTTCGAATGCCAATTCATAGTTTTTTTTTTTTTATTATAATAATTATTCAGCTTCATTTAGCGTTTGATCAGACATATTTGGCAAATATCAAAATTTTGTCATTAAATTAATTTATTCAATAAAATAGCAAAATAATAAATTATTAATTGATTTAATTAAATTGTGGATTTTTTTTTTAAAATAGCCAATTAAAAATATTTACTTTCTTAATTACAATATTCTAAAATTCATTAATAATTAAGTGTTGAATTTCATTCATTATTGCCATGCTTTGATCTACAAAAAATCAACCAATAATCAATTCATATAGGTTGTTATAACTTACCTGGGCCAATATGTACAAAATAGCTAATAAAAGTAAATATTTTCAAAATTGAATGAGTATAAATAAATTGTATCTGTATTATTTAATATAAATTTTATTTTCAGTGCAGTTCATTTGAAAAATGTCAGAGCTAGATTAATTTTTGTATTTTGCATTCTTGTCTGGGTTAGGAGTTGTGATATTTTATTACAACTCATTAGTAACTTTAATTCAATATTATAAAAAAACTCAGACGACATATTTTCTTAAATCGGTTTTCAACTTAACTGGTGGTCTAAAGTATACACTTAACTTCATCTATCTTTTAACTTCTGGAAATTGTTAAATTCTAGGATATATAACTGCTATTGTAGACTTTATATACTGGACTTCCTTAGCATCTTTCTTACTGTGGAGGTTAAAAAAAATTAATCAAGTCATTGAAAATCGTATATTAGATAACGTGATAAGCTTAGTGTTATTATCAACAAGAACTTTATTCCAAGTAATGTACAAAATAATGTAAAATTATAATGAAATATTGTAAAACAGTTTCTAAAATATATTTTACCATTTTAGTTCTCACAGGTTTTGTTTCTTCATCCAAGAAACGCCTTAGATTCTGGTAAAGAATTCCAAATTGCATGTAATTCTGCATTTTATGAAAATCGAATCGCAGTTTTAGGCTTTATAAATGCTGACTTAGTAATTGAATCTTTGTTGCTCTTTGATTTTTTCAAATTTTATTAAAAGGGAAATATTTATATATAGACAATTCTTTTAATTCTTTTATGGATAACTCGGTCATTAATGCAGTTCTTTTCTGGTTTATTATATAGATTATTTTAGCCATATTTTTGGATATTGTTAGTATATTAGATACTTTATACGTAGTAGAACTAAATAGGTTTACCTCCAGAACTTTAAATTTAGTTGTTTGTGTAGCAATGTCTTGTGTGATAACTTTAGATAGAGAAATTATAAAAGCATATTCAAGACATGAAAAATGTGAAAATTCAACATGATTATTTTACATTTCACGTAATTGAGATCATTTATTTAGGACAATATATAGATACAAGCAGCTGGTGCTCAATTACGATATATATACCATTTTTGTTTATAAAAAAAATAAAAAATTTAATAAAATTTTACCTGAATTTATTAAATATTTAACCTCTGGATTCGTGTCACTGATCATCAGTTTGTTGTTTTCTGATATTTAATAGTTCTTTACGAGCATAAATGTTAAACAATGTCATGTAAAATTTTTTACATAGTTGTAGTTATATCATAGGGTTTCTATCGCATAGAAAAAAATGAAACCTCCCTTTGTCAAAGGTTTGACACACCTCGATGATTGTATTTTGTCGATTTTCAACAGTCTTTTGACCTGGAAAAAATTGAACTTCGAAATAAAATTTTTAAACTGATCTGAGGCTACCAGATAACCAGAGAATCGTCACTACCAGGTTCCTTTTATTATTCATTTTCTCTTCTGTTCCTTTATGATTCTTTCTATTTTTATTTAATTTTTTTTTTATAAATTATATATTTATTTATTTATTCTATGTATAAATATTTTTTTATTTAATAAATTTTTTTTAAAACTTTAAACAAAAGTAACTTAACTTTATTAAATTTAATAAATTTTTTTTAAAATAAATATAAGTTTGTAAAATTTATTTAAATTTTTTTTTATTAAATTTGATTAAGTTTTTGTTGAATTATTATTGTTTATTTTGCAATTTATAACTTTGAAGAAAGATCGAATTATTGTGATAGATTTTTGTTAATAATAAACTAGAAAATTTAAGATGTTTGATAATAAATGAATGTCTGATATTCATTCTTTTCAATACCAATTCCTTCATTATAACAACGTTCAACATTATATGTTCCTTTAGGATGCTCCTTATCAGCAGATTTTTGATAATATTTGAACACCTTCTTTCAACTCCAATTCTATTTTGATAACAATCACCAAGATTATAAATTGCAACAGCCTGAACTCAATTAAGAAATTTATT